TCAGAGGTCCAGGTAATGGGGAAAAAACCCTACCTTACCCATACCCCCCATCTACATAATAGGGGAGAGATTGGGAGAGGAAGGGGTCCACTATTTGGGGGGGGGACATTCAGACAAAACCCATCTGAGTCTTAAAAGATAAGGCATCTCACCTGACTTCTCTCTTTCAAACATATAGAAATACTAATAACAGCTTGTGCATTATACTTCCCAGAATGCTTTCCCATATTTTGTCCCTTTTAACCCCAGTAGTTTGTTTTAATTTTCAGACAAGGAGACTGCAGCCCTGAGGGGTCATGTGACTCCTTCCAAGTCATACTGGCCAGGGTCTGCTCCTCACTGCTGTTGGGACCTCTGCTGACTCAGCAGAGCCTAGGCATCTGGTTACAATTGTTTGCTAATCATTAGGATGCTAAGTGGTTCCAAAAATACTGTGGGGTGGCTTCCATGAGGCAAAGCTGAGCCTGGAAATGGGACTCAGACCAATCTCTAGCCCGGTGGGGTGGTGATAAGCAGGCTGAGGTCAGGGGCAAGCCCAACCCAACAGGCCCAGCAGAAGAAGCAGCATGTGCTCAGGGTGGTAAAGAGGTTGGTGAGGAGGCCACCTCCAGCGGGAGGCCTGTGGGGGGCTACCTGGGGCTAGACCCAGGGATCTCTATGTACATAGCTGGGGGAAGTTCAGGTTCAGAGGTAAGTACTTCAAAGAGTGAGCATTCCAGACAGCTCTGCTGGGGAGTTGTTGCTGTCCTTGACAGCCACAGGAGGTGCCATTTTTGACCAGGACTCACTCAACCCCGTTATTTTCTTGATGGGGAGGAAGTCCTGCAGAGGCAGTTTTGTGCCCAGGATGCAGGTGTTTCTTGCACTGCCTCGGTGCCTCACTAGAGGGAGCCCAAGTTCTCACTCCCTGCCTGCAGCCCACTTGGCCCCGTGTGGCCGCCCTTCTACCGTACCAGAGAGGGTGTGGGTCCCTGGGGGTGGGAGAGGCGGCCCTCCCTCCTAGTACTGGGGAGGTCTCAACAGACTGGAAAATGTTTTCAGGAATCACAGGCGGCAAATGCTAGATTTGACTACAAAATGAGTGCAGTTTCTCCTCACAGTTTGTGAGAACTTACAATCCCCACCCTGAACCTGGTGGTCTGTTTCCAACCACCACCTGTTCCCCCATCCCCAGATCATGGCTCTTCTCAGCAAGTGCCACCAAGTACAGCATCCCGGGAGCCCAGACACAGGACGGGAGATGGGAGAGGCTCAGCTGTATGCTTGACCATGACGATAAGACCCATCACCTATCAAGGAGACAGTTCGGTGGTCAGACCTGTGGGCTCTGGAGTCAGATGATATTGTTTCCAAATTTTCTCCACCTAGATGTGATTGCCGAGAGCCAGGAGCATTGTCTGTCTTGTGGACCACAAAATCCCCGATGCCTGGAATAGAATCTGGCACACGGAGAGCCGTCAATATTTTATGAATAAACCAGTGGCTCCAACCTTACTGCTTCTTTAACCTTGAGCCAGTTACCTCCTGTCTTTGAGCCTCAGTTTCCCCTTCTGTAAAACAGGACCAAAACATAACTTGCCAGACAGGTGGTGGTGAGGACTAAATGAGTATGTGTGTAGGCTGTAGTAAATCCCCAGCAATAAATAGCAACTCCTAGCAGTTCTTATGTGCCGGGCACTCTGAGAGGTACTGGGGATGCATCGGTGTGCGTTTGTGTGTGGACACGTGCTTGTGTGCGCACACAATCTCATGCCGTCCTCCAGGAGGACGGGTCTATTATTATCTTATGTTTACAGTTGAGGAGACCAAGGCACGGAGAGGTGCTGCATGTGGCCAAAGTTGTTCTGCTGGTAAGTGGCGGTGGAAGCAGATTTTTAAGCCCCATGAATCTGACTCCACAGCTTTGCTCTTATGCTTGGAAATTGCTTGCTTAGGGTCCTTGCAGATCTGGGATTCTGCAAATGACAATGTTTTGGGTCATTTTGTGTGGAGGACAAGGCAAGTCTCCAGCCATCCTTTTCTGCGTCTGACACTTCCAAGGCTTATGACCTTAGAAACCCAAGAGCTGATGAATTGAGTTGCCCAAGGACGCGATGATCAACTGTGGCATGCTAGTCAAGTGTTGAAGCCGGTGCCCACCCCCAGCTGGAAGAGGCTGATTCTGTACTTAAGACTCTGGGGCCTGACTCTTTGGCAAGCTCTTTGGGTATTTCTGAGCAAGTGTTCTTTCTACTTTTGGAAATTTGAAAAGAAAAAAAAATGATCTATGAAATGGGTACGTACTCAGGAGTGAAGGGATGAGCTTTGGCTTTTCAAGAAAGAGGGGAAGGCCAAAGAGATATAAGTCTATGGGTAATTCCCCCCGTGCTCCCCCAATGCCAGCCCCTATCCCCCCACCAGCCCCTGAGCACCATTCCCACGCCCTGCCCTCCGAGGGAAGTGCTGAGTTGCCTCCAATGGGCAGAGGACATTAAGCCTAGATAAAGGGGCAGGGTAGGGAGTCTGTGCTCCGTCCTTCGTCCTGCTCTTCCACCTCCCTTTGCTTCCATTGGGAAAAAGAAAATTGCCCAGTAATTGCTCCTTGACAAACCCCACTGGTCCTTGGTCTTCTTTCTTGCTGAGATTATAATTAGGGAATCAGTAAATTTAAATAGAAAATCCACGAGCATCACAGAGCCTTCATTTCTCAAGCGCAGTTTCATGTACCTTGTAAGCGGCCCTTGCGCTTGGTGGCGGGCAGCGGTGGTAGGGGGAGGCCCCACGTCTGGTGGGGGCAGGAATTCAGAGCGCACAGCCCCCTGGGCTCTTTGCAAAGGCACAGGAGCCAGGGCAGAGGCTTGGGGGAGGATTTGCTATGTGCTGGAGGCTGGGCCGGGTGTTTCCCAAGCCTTGTTATAGCCACCCTTGGAGGTCCCACTAGTTTTATTCCCATGTTACGGAAGAGGAATCTAAGGCTCGGAGGGATGATGACTCGCCTAAGGTCATACAGCTAGCGAGAGACAGAACAGAGACTGGAAGCCCCATGCATCTGAGCCCTTAGCCTATTCATCTGTCCTGAAATTTGACTGATTTTCCAACAGAGTTGGGGGGGCCTACATCCCAGCTTTGAGTAAATTCCTGGTGTGTGGCCCTTTTCTTCCCCCGCCAAAGTCTGGATGCAGCCAGAGCCTGGTCTGGGCCCCCGGGGTCCAGGGATCAAAGCCAGGCTCCTGGATGGGCTGAGACAGAGGAAGGGATTTGTGCCTGTCCGGTGAGCTGTGGTTTCTCCCTGGACTAGTAGTAGGGCCTCCCTACCCTGGGTCCTCGAAACGGCCCGTCTGGGCAGGAGGACCCATCCCATCACCTTCATCTCCATTTTAGAGATGAGGAATCTGAGGCCACAGAGAAATGAAATGACTTTGCCCAAGATGACTTAGCCAGCTACTGGCCGATAGATTTGGGACTAGGAGCCTCCCCACCCCCACCAGGGCTGAGCTGCTTCTCCAGGGCTCTGCAGCTGTGCAGGGCTGGGCTCTGGTGGCAGGCAGTGGGCCTGTCCAAAGAGAAAACCAAAAAGCTGACAGGCAGGGCAAGGAGAGGAAGCTCACATTTCTTGGTCGCCAATGATGTGTTGGCTGCTAACGGGGAGGGGTTTCGGAGCCTCTCTGTCAACGGTAGCTTTTGGCTTTGCCTTTCTGTGTGTCATGTAACGAGTGACGGTGTTTTGTGATCCTCACCTAGTGGATGATGTGAAGACCAGCTGGGATCATGGATGTAAAGCCCAGACTCAGTGCAGTGCTGAATGCATGGTGGTCACGTGAGGAAACCATGACCTATTTCCTTGCTAATAGTACACTAATATCATTAACAAGTCTTATAATAATGCTGTGAGATATTAATACCCCCATTTTCCAGATGGGAAAACCAAGTCTCTGAGAGATTAAGTGATTTGGTTCCGATGCACAACTCCTAAGCTACGGACCCAAGGTTCCAAGTGGGGGCTGTATGATCCCGGATCCACTGTCCCCCTCTATGACCTCATCTCCGGCTTTGGGACAGGAGTAAGACAGTAGGTCCCCAGCAGGGGACAAGGGCACATGAAGCACCCCAGACAGATCAACTCATGTCCTGGGCTGCTAGGACAAGCTCCTGTGTCTGGTATACTGTACTTCTCGGCCACCCTGCATCCCAGGAAAATGCCTTAAACCTATAAGTCGTCCTATAGGACAGGAACAAAGGCCCTGGGGATCTTGCTGCTTAACTGGTCCTGGTTCTTATAGGGTTGCCCTTTTCTGGGTCGCCAGTTACCTGCTGCGGGGGTTTTTTATTTAGTAGTAAATAAGGAAAAAGCCCTCTTAAACCCTTTCTGCCCTCTTCAAATCTTATTAATGATTTTTAAAAATATTTAAGAACTATATCACTTTTTTTTGTTCCCTTCACCCTTTTGATTTTTGGTCTTTCTGTGTCTTGCTCTGCCTCTCTCTTTCCCTCTTTGCTTCTCTCCCTGTTTCTTGGCTTGGGAGCATTGAGGGAGTCTCTGAAGTCCGAAGGAGCGTCAGACCTCCTTCTTTCTGACACAGCCCTCCCCAAGCCCTGCAGCCTCCTGAGCCCAGTACCAGCTCAGCACCTTGGTGAGGGCAAACCCTTTTATATATCGCTGTAATTTTCCCTGGCCTCAGAAAGTCACAGCTAAGCCTCTTTCCTCATGTTCCTAAATGTAAATAAACATCATCCCCAGCTGGAAAGGGCAGGATCACAAATTGGCTATGCTTCTGCAAAGTAGGACTTTTTAACCAGAAAAAGGCAGACTCTGGTCTTCCTGCCTGGAGGGGAGCAGAGAGGCGAGAGGCCGGAGGACCTAGAGGATGGGAGGAAAAGAGAAAGAACAAGCAAAAACAGGGGAGAAAGAGAGAGGGCAACGGAGGGGGGGGGAAGGAGGCTGCAGAAAGCCCACGAGAGTCACCCCTCTCCCTCTCACACCGTAGGTAAAGAGTTCAAATTAGGTTTTCCATTTCACTGACTTGTAAACTGAGGACGCAGAAACCTCAATGCAATAGGAGGTGGCCGAGTTTTCTCCATGATTGATGGCGGCGCAGCAAGGACAGGGAGAAAGGGAGTTTTGGAGCTCCTGAAGCCCCAGGAACTGAAAAGCCACATTCTGCAGCCTCTTTCTTCCAGCGAACGGAACTGGCCCCGCGGTTCTGCTGATTTAGCTTTGCATGCCAAATGCGTCTGGGGCTTCTGCAGTCTTCCAGAGAAACAGCACATTTCCTCAGGAGCGAGCACTGCCACTGGATTCCTGTTCTTTTCAGAACATGAACAACGCTGCAATGCCACTTTGCTGAAAAGGTACAATCATAGCAGGTGGCAGTGGCCAGGCAGGATCTACATGGGGACAAGGGTGTTGATGGAGGGTTCAGGAGAGGCCTCACACCCCTCTCTTGGCCTCCCCATATAAGGGTTGGGGGGAGACCCCAGGTGAGAGGCTTCAGCCCCCTGTGCATTCCCGGGCTTCTCCTGGCAAAATCCACAGCCCTGATGCTCAAAGCAGTAGCCTCAGAATCTTCTGAACACCTAGGCCAGCTGAGGGCTCAGGAGCTAATCAGGCTTGCAGCTTGCCACCCCTGGAGAAAAGCCACATTTTGGCTAAAGAGCATTTCCGGTAGCTGTGGACTGCCTGGGGGGCAGGGGTGGGGGAGGTGGTGGGAGAAGGGAGCCATACTGCTCTGCCCTCTGCCAGGGTCAGCACAACCAACCTCAGTTAAGCCAAGGCCAGGGGAGCAGGTTCTCACATTTCTTGGGTTTCAGGTTATCTAAGCGGAAGCCCTTGTGAGCTCTGTGCCTTGGGGGCGGAGGAAACGTTGAGACAGTGCCTGGCTAGTAGAGCAGAGGCCATCGTGCAGTCTTGGCCCTGGGCTGGGAAAAGACGGTGACCAGAACTCAAACTCAGAATGGCCCCTGACACGCCCCCACCCTGGGCCATATGCTAGAAGACCTTTTCTTTTCTGATAAACCCTCACTGACAACCTCTGTTTTTCATGTTCCCTTTTTTCCTAAAAGGCAGGTGTAGGCGCCTGCCCCATCTCTGGGTCCTATGAAGTGTCTTCTGTTTCCTGAATGACCGTCTGGATTTCTCTTCTTCCTGTGGTCAGTCTGGCCAGTGCCATTTTGCCCTGACCTCTTGTCTGGGATGAACGGCTGGGCACCCACCCACCCTGAGCCTCTGTGACTGGGTTTCAGTCACCAGAACAGCCCTGTCGCAGCCTCGGAGTGGTCCCGGATGGAAGGGCTGCAGACAGAGCTGGTCCGCAGGGCAGCACTCATGAGCAGAGCTATGGATGCTTTTGGAGTCTGTTGGCTTTGCTTGGTTTGTCTCTCTCCTCTCCATCCCTCTCAAGGATGATAGAAAGCCTGTAGGTGGATCACAAGAGCAGGGAAGCACCTTTTCACCAGAGCAAGGAAAACAGCGGAAGATGCCTGATCCAAGCCTTCCTGAAGACTCATCTTCCCCACCTTCAAGGAGCCGTGGAAACACCCCTCATGGATCCTGGGGGTCCTCTCCCCTCAGGCCCCTTTCCCCTCCCATCACCATGATGCTTTCTGGAGAGAGGGCCCCTGACCCACTTCTTTGCTTCGTCTGAGCTGAGTTGAGGGGAGAGAAACTGTGGGAACAACAGACCTCACCACATTCCCTCATGGACTGAGGGTGGGGGAGAGGACTGGGTGAAGGCAGCTCGCAGACAGGGTGGGAGCATGCCATGCAATTCTCACTGATTGTCTCCCCAGAGGCAGCTGCTCCTGAAGGGAAGTGTGAAAGCACCAGTAACTAGCTGTGGTGCCAGATAAGAAGGGCCTCAGTTTCCCTTCCCATGCCTTCCCTTTGCACATGAATGTGAGCACACACATGCGCATCCTCGGCTTGATTCCCAAGGTAGAGCCCCCCGGCTCAGTTTATAGCAGCCCCCTTTCCCGCACTCCGCCCACTGTCCACACAGCGCACCAGCGGCCCCAACCCCAGACCCAGGCCTCATCCTGGGAGCATGGACCTTTACCAGCAACAAGGGCATCCTTGCCCCTTGAGACAGATGAGCAAAGGGACTGAGATCTTTCCAAGCCACTGTACAGATGTGGGAATTTCCCTCCAGGTCAGAACCACCCCTCCTTCTCAGCAACTCCTTTGACCCCAAGACAGAGAGGGCGGTCTGATGCCCCCAAACAAAATGGAATTGCCTGTGACTCATACCCAACCTTGCTGGTTGAGAAACCTACTTCCTGGGGTTGAGGGGTGGGGGAGCGGTGAGGAACTAGGACCAGGGTGTGAGCATGTATGTATGTGTGTGTTCTCAGTTGGCCTCCTAGGAAAAGTTCTGGTGTAGACCAAAGTCCATTTGGACATTTTTGCAAGAAGAAAAAAACAACTAAAGGAGAACAAAAATACTTCAGCTGCGTGAAGCCAAATAACCTGCTCCGCTCTGGTCGGGAAGACACTTTATAAGGCAGGTTCAGGGGGCAGGGCCTGGGAGGCACAGTCTGATGCAGTTCCTGGAGCTCCCAGCTCTCTTGCCTCATCCTGCGCTGCTCAAGCCTCGGAGAGGCCACACTGCCTTCCTTCCTCTGCCACCCTTTTGGCATGCAGTTCTGCTTTTGGGGTGATGGGATTGTCATGCTGGATCTTGAGGGAACAGGAAGTGAAGCTGTTTCGGTCTTTGCATTTCTTTTGTTATTGTCACAAGCAGGAAATATCAGCTTGAATATAAACAAAATGCGGAACTGAGACACACTACAGGATTTTGCTATGTTCTCACTTTGGTAGAACAGGGGCGAAGCATGAAGGTGCTTTCTAATGGTACAACTTAACCTTTAGGCAACAAGGCCATGGTTTGTTCAAAGTGAGAAAAGGAGAGCAAATCATGTTTGTTGAAACCTATTATTTTACCAAAATGTCTTATTTAATCTTTCCCCCAGACCCAGTGACTTAGGTACTTCTGTCCCCCTGTCGTGGTGGGGACACTGAGGCTGAGAGTTGAAGGGGCTTATCCAAGGGCATACATGTAGAAATGAATGCTGGAGAAAGGATTCAAAATCTGGGCCAACTATCACCAAACTTCTGTGTTTCCTGAGTTCTCACACCATCCCCCGCTCTTACTCCCTCCTCATCCCCATGCTTATGATTGCCCTTCTCCCAAGATCCTGAGGAACTACAAGAGAAACAGCCCTGGACCAGGAGTTAATGGCTAGCCCTGGACTGTTTCCAGGCAAGGCAGCTCTCTGTCCCTTTGTCCTGGTTCTGAGATGGGGCCAAAATGTTGTCCAACGGCCACCTGACTGAGCTCAGGACAAAGATCATCTCACCTGATACCAGGTGGTCAGAGGAGAGGACCCGGTGAAGGTGGTGCTGAGGGCTCAATTCAGGGACAAGCCATCGACCGACTACATTCAAAACCATGCACATGCGTCATGCTTATGCGCTCACTGAAACATTACTTCTGCCTCTAACTTAGAATGAGATGCAGACTCCTTTCCTGCCCTGCAAGATGCTACATGATCTTATCTTGTCCCTGTGGACCTCTCCAACCTCCTCTCCAGCCCCTCCACCTGCTTACTCTGCTCTTTTCTGTTCCTCAAACATACAAAGCTCATTCCCAGATGAGGACTTTCTGCCACTCTGTGCTTGGTTGTTCCTGTACTACCATTTGGAGCTCACTACAAATGCCACCTTCTTATAAGACGACCTGACCATTCCTTATAAAGCAACACCCTCTGCGACATCAATCTGGTTAATTTACTTTATAATAAATCTCACTCACCTATTTTGCTTATTTGCTTCTTTTATTTCCATATTCTGTGCCCCCCACTAGGGTATAGGGTTAGTGAGAGCAGGGCTTTCTCTCTCTTGTTCTTCTCTATATCCACAGAGCCTGGAAAAATGCCTGATACATGGAGGATATTCAGAAATATTTGTTGTATGGATGAGTGAATGAATGGATGGATGGATGGATGGATGGACAGGTAGATAGTTAGATGGATGGATGGATGGATAGACAGATGGACAGATAGATATATGGATGGATGAATAACTTAATCAATGAACTGATTAATGGTTAGATAAAATGGATGGATAGATGGTATCTACTAGGTCCCAGGTCCCAGTGGGGGTATAAAGATGAATAAAATGCTGTGTCTCTGGTCAAAAAGTTGTTTCTCATAGTCAAGTAGATGTGACTAGGTAGAACAGATGTTCTGGGAGAATAAAGTAGCGTATCTGAAGTAGAAAGAAGAAGGGATCCATTCTTGCTGGTGGATGATAGGGAGGTGACACTTCCAGCCATAAAGTATAAATGGCAATTAGTCAGGTGATCAGTGAAGTTAAGAGGTTCTCCTATAGCCCAGGAAAAGGCAAAGAGGCTGAACCCATCCTACATAGCCTAGAAACTGTAAGCTGTTTGGTGTGGTGAAACATGGGATGTGTAAGATCTTATACTGTTCACTACTATGACTGCAGTGTTTAGCATCTAGTTACTCTACTATTAGCACTTGATAATAGTACTCAGGAATCAGTACTCAAGAGTTATTTGTTGAAGAAAGTAACAAAAGGAAAGCATGGTGAGAAGTAAGCCTGGCAAGGTTGACCAGACTAGAGAATTTAGACCTTGGCTGTAGGACAGTGGGAAGTCACAGAAAGATTGATTAGATGTGTATTTCTGATAATGGCCCACCCTGCTGTATCACAGGAAATGTGCCGGGGAAAGCCCGTGCTGAGGCAGGAAGGAGGTAGACTATGGTTGTGGTCCAAGTGAGAGATGAGAGGTGGTCCAGGAGAGAAGAGGACCTGAGCCATGAGAAGATGGTTTATATGAGGAGGTAGAGAGATACCTCAGAGATGTGAGGAAGAGAGATTTTATAAGATTGTATCCTTGATTCCTTATGGAAGAGGAAGGAAAGAGGGAGGGAATGGAAAGAGAGGAAAGCTCCCAGGTTTCCAACTAGAGTGACTACCTGCTGGTCACTGAAATACACAGTGTAGTGTGTGTGTGTGTGGGGGGGGAATTCATTATGAAGCTCATGAAAGTTATGTGTCAGGATCCCTCACTTTCATGGGCCACTTTCAAGACCCTGTACCTGATTTCGTATTCACTGTTTTATTTTTCTCAAAGAACCTTTCTCTGTTCAATTTTGGAAGATGCAGCCCTCACCAAGCCTGGAATTATAATGGAAATAATTTTGGGGAAAAGATTGTAAGTTCCATTTGGACCATGTTGAGTTTGAGGTGGATGAAAAATCTCCAGGTGGAGATGTTCTGCAAGGAGCATAGTGTGGTGGTTAGAGCATAGGTCAGAGTTTGGATCCTGGCTTCAAGACATGTGAATTTGGGTCTGTGCTCATCATGGGGCGATGATGTTGGTAGCACCTTCCTGGGGTTGTTGTAAAGATCAGATGAGACAGTGTATGTAAAATATTTAAACAGGGCCAAGGGTGTGGTTGGTCCTCACGACAAGCTACATGTCCGCTCTTGGTATTATGTGGGAAAGTGCAGATCTGGGGGTCATCAAAGCGATGGAGGCCTTGGAAGGATCATGCAGGAAGAGCATGTTAGGGCATGATAAGAAGGCCAGAGCTGTGATGTTTATCATGGTGACCAGAGGAAGAGGAACCAGCAAGAGAGGCTGACAAGGATCAGCCAAATGGGTGAGGGGAGGAGAGTGGGTCCTGGAAGCCAGAGGAAGAGAGACTATCCAGAAGGCACTCGGTCATGAGTGTCGCCTGCTGCCGAGAGTCAAGGCTCTGGTGTGGGCTTTGGAGGAAGTCATTGGTGAGCTCGTTGAAGGCTTCAGAGTGGAGTAGGACTCTGAGAAATGAACATATGTGCGGATGGCAAACGTAGACTGTCCTCCGGAGGACCCTGGCCATGG